AATCTTGCATGGCACTGATACCGCTGGCCTGGCCTTGGACCATCGACAGGACAATATCACCCCAATGAAATGACTGATACCATCTTCGGAGACCATCTTGTTTGTATGGAGCACTTTATTCTTGTTTTTGTTGTTATTTAATGGTTTTACTGTTTTATCCTTTTTTTATGTATGAGCTTGTGCCCTCTTGTGAGCCGCCCTGAGCCCGCTCGCGGGGAGGGTGGGGTAAAAATGTTAACAAATAATAATTAATAGAGGCTTAATGTGAGGAAATGGGTGGTTGAAGCTTTTCATGGCATAGAGGTAAAGAACATCTAAGTGCGCAACATCCTATTGAGAGGTCAGGGCATTTCCCCCTCTAGGCCTGCTGGTAATCGTAGCCTCTCCATTTCAGCAGCAACAGCATTCCCTCTGTACTGATGTCAACAGTAACCATGGTTAATTCCAAGTCCTGTTTGCAAACTCTGGATAGACGTGGCTACTCCAGTGAAACTGTCCAGAAGCATTTTATTTATTTATTTATTTATATTTACGTTTATATCCTGCCCTCTCCGCCATTCGGCAGGCTCAGGGCGGCTAACAACATCAGTAAGTGTACATTAAAATTCCAATTAAAACTGTATGCTTTGAAAATTCCAATTTTACAAGGGGTTTTCTTCGTTCATGTAGAATAGGTTCAAACTTTTTAGAATGTGCATTAGTGTTCTTCCCCTACTTCCATTTTCTTCTTCCTTCCCCCCCACGCAACCCCACCCCTTTCACCTCCCCTTCTCCTCTGCCTTCAATTGAGTGGTGCCCACTTCTCAAATAATCAATATGTCAGTTAAAAACATGTCACGGTGTGGTCATTGTACGGCTTCCATTCAAAGTCCATGTCATTTAGACTTTCATTGGCAGCTATTTTGTCCCATTAAGAAGTTCAAGACAGCAATTTGTGAATCCTGCTCAGCCAAGTAGAACTGTGAAAAAAGGAGTTATTTTAAAAGTCAATTAATTGTGGTCTATTGGAGCCCTCCCCATTCACTTTTTTCAGGCCTTGTCACGGGCCCGCATCTGTCAGGTCTGTGTTTCCCAGGCTGCTATCAGATGCCGTTATATTGTAAATAATGGGTTTATTCAAGCTCTTTATTGGACTTTGTGCGGTAGACACATTTGTATATCATTTTACGGTGTAACAATTCCATTTACATAAAATACAGGCAATTATGTGAGCAAGTCCAAAAGCTGTGGGAGGGAAGCAGGGATAGTCCATTAAAATAATAAAGGCTAATTGAAAAGAGGGAGATAATTTAGGAGAAAATGCCAACACGAGGGATTCATGGTCCCAAAATGATTCAAGCACAGACCAATATGCATGTGAAAAATGGGGGAGGGGGGGTTCACAGTTAAAACTGCTCAATGATATTGCTTGAAATGTTGCCAGTGCTTTATATCTCTTCCAAAAATTATCTCAATGTTGGCTAAATAGTATTTTAGCTTTCTAAAATTTAGAGTAGAGGCCACTTTCCATTGAAATGGATAGTAAATCCCACTTTGAGTAGTTCTGGTTGGACCTTCTCACTCCTAGGAGTGAGGAAAGTTGCAGCACAGTGATGTCTCCTAAAAATTCTCATTAAGCAATAGTAACCACAATCAAGTAAGAGTATCCCTAAATTTAAACATTAGTTTTCTGAGCACAATTTGGCTTATGTTGTCATCCATGCCATCCATAGGAGAACAACACATGAATACCCTTGAAGATCCTGCACACTTGTGTTGGGATGGAACTGCAAGCTTTCTTGCACAACTGGAGACATGAGAATACCTAGAGAACCTACCTGCCTCTTAATATAACATGACTCGAATGCTTGTGCAATTTCTTCTGCAGGCATTTGCAAAACAACATGAGTATATTATTTGCCTTCCACTCACTGTTCTTTAGAATCAATCCAAGGCATGTAGACCCCCTTGCCTATCTTTTGTTAGTTTCCTAAAATGTTGAACTAAGGCTCCTTATCAAAGGAAAATGTGAAGCTTTAAATTCTCTGCAAAAGTGCTGTATTAAGAATTACCAAACTAGATGCCATGGTGGCAAATCCACACATTTTAAACAGGATCTGATTTAAAACAGGATAGTGTAGAAAGGGGGAGTACCATTTCATCTCAGTAGCATGTTTGGGCTGGAAAGTTCAACCTAAGGACATCTCCTCCAGCCTAGAGAGCCTATCAGCCAACAGTAGCCTCTTCTTTTAGAGAAAGAACCCCTTAAGTTGCAGGAAGGCTGCAAACTTTTGTCACCTTAAATTCATGTCCTGTTTTCTGGCTAAGAGCTGGGTTCGAACATTCAGCCCAGCAGGGATAAGGTCTAGTTGGGGTCCTGGACTTCTGTACACATGAAATGAGGCCCACTGTGTGACCTGAATACTTGGGTTGGGAAGCTGCTGTATAATCATTCTCCATGAACAAATTTGTTCAAGAAAAAAATGCCCTATGTAAAGCAGGCATTAAAGGCTGCTTCAGTGTTATTTTCATGGTTTCTATTTCCACTAAAGATTCAATATTTTTCCTGCAACATCTGAAGGCCACCTGTGTCTGAAAATGCACAAATATGTGCCAGCTGGTAAACTTTGTCCATTAGCAACTCCCAGAATGCCTTTCAGACGTTCTAATGCATTTCAAACACTACTGAAATTATGTGGCTGACCCATGTCAAAAGGCTGTGAAGCACTACTAGGTGAATAAAAGGTAAGTCCAACAACTTGAGTCACAACAGACTTACATGCACCGATTGACTGAGGTGTGCATTAGAATTACTAACTGTACAGGAGCCTCTAGGGGTTCATACAGATCTCCAGAATTCCAGTGATACATTGGTAAAATGGTTATCTGTAATGAACCTCTGTTAGAACAGACATAGGCTAAGGAAGGGGTTCCCAATTTTGTGCCCCGGACACCATGGCACATGCCAGTTTTTCCCTTGGTGCCCACAGCTTTTCAAAAAGTGGGTGGGACCACTGTAAGGGAGGGGTTGTTATTGGCTGCCCTCATTTAAATGAAAAGGCTTTCCACTGGAGGCTGAGGACTGGTAAGCACCTGGGCTTTCCTTAGTCAGTGTGTGCCTCCATTCCTCCTTCAGGCTTTCCTTCTTCCCTGGTGGTGTGAGGAGGGTAGTACTACATATGAAATTGTTGAATCTTGTCTTCAGAATAAAGAGCTGAAATGTGTGTTTGTGATATGCTGGCTGCTGCATTTTTTTTTTAAAAAAACAATGCATAGAAGCAGCCCAGTTTGAGCACATACCTTAAGGATCACCTCTCATATGAACCTACTCATACACTCTGGCCATCTTCAGAAACCCTGCTTTGGGTGCTCCCACCAACTGAGGCTAGACGGGTGGTGACCCAAGAAAGGGCCTTCTCAGTTGTGGCACCAGAACTTTGGAACTCTCTCCCTAGGGAGATTCATCAGTCTTCCTCTATCAGTATCTTCCACCACTAGGTGAAGACATTTTTGTTTCATTTGGCATACCCCCATACCAGTTACTGGCCCTCCTCCCTGGTACTGGTATTGTTTCTCTATGTGACCTATTGAATTATTTAATAATTTAAAATGTTGTTTTTAATTGTTCAAATGTTCTATGGTTCACCAACCTGGGGCCTCTGATCAGTTGGAAAAGTGCCACAATTTTTTTAAAAATAAGTAAATACATACATAAAATTTGGAAGAGTACTGTGGAATCTAACAGCACCCTCTGTTCAAAGCCAGCAGTCAAAAGGGATAGCTTGGTCACTCAAAAGCTCATTAAAGATTCTTACTGGTCTGGGTGGGGGTGTCTTTGCATGATTCTGCAGTGCTGCCTTTTCTTTGCAATCCTACCTCACTTTCAAATAAGATGCTGAAATTGGCCATTCTGGAGGTTATGTAGTCCTGCTATGAAAAGCAGTCCTGCTTCATCTTTACCTTGTAACACATAGTAAACTATAAAGCAGATGATAGCATGCTCCTTCTGTTGCAAGATCCCTGCCTCCAGAGATGGCATCTAATGCAGTGGAGTAGGGGTGAGGAAAGTTGCAGTGCAGTGATGTCATGTCTATTTGGGCTGCATTTTCAGCACCTGGGAGTCCCAACTCAAACAGAAGCCTCTGTGTTGGGAATAAAGGTCTTGCCCTTGCAACCATTCACAAAGGCTTCATTTGGGGAGGAGCTGTGGCTCAGTGGTAGAACATCAACTTTGCACGGAGAAGATCCCAAATTCAATCGCTACCCTCTCCAGTTAGAAGTGCCAGGTAGTAAGTAAGGTGAAAGATCTCCATCTGAGACCCTAGAGAGCTCCTCCCAGCTTGAGTACACAATACTGACCTTGATGGACCAAGGGAATGACTCAGTATAAGGCAGCTTCAGAGTTTTGGTTCAACAGAAGGGATAACTTTGCAGGCACAATGGGATGAATGCATAGAACTGCTTCCTCTGTTTGAGAAAACAGTTCACTCAGGAGCTCTGCTTGAGCATTAAAGCATATGTAACATATTAGAAGGGGGCATGGAGGATTATATTAAATTTTCAACCCCTTTCAACCCCTTTCTCAAAACACCTGTTCCTGTGAGTGCAATTGTAGCAGAGCTGGGATTCACCCAAGACATTAACTGGAGTTTTATTCCAGGGTGACGTGCTCTTTGGAATTCAGGATGCAATCATAATTTATCTGGTGTTTTTGTGGCTTGCAAAGTGCTTTATATTCTTTATTGTTTGCCCTCACAACAATCCTGTGAGGTAGGTCAGAATTCACAATGTACAAACTGGACAGTAATAATTTGCCAATGACCTCATAGTAGTCTGTGAGAGAGGTGGGACTTATCTAGATTTCCCTGGTGCAAAGCCTCTTCTATTCAGCAAAGCGCACTGGTTCTCTTCTCTAAAGGAAACACATTTTAATATTCCAGTCACCTCCCATTTTCTGATCAAACCATTCTTCTTATATGCGAAAACTGTATTAAGTCATTTCTTGTGATCCTCATACACATTCAGTCAAACTGAAACTCACAAGGGTTTGCTCCTTTCTTGCTGGCTGTTTGGTAGACAGCCCTGAACTCTTTAAATCGTGGGGCACAGCCCAGCCAAGCTTCGCCAAAGTGTTCGTTGCCAGTGAAGAGGAAGTCCCCAGCCCCTTTCTTGACTTTACACTGCAGGAGAGTCTTGATGAGCCCTCGCCACTCACCGGTTGATTTATCTTCCCAGAAGATCTGGTTTTTCTGCCTGTAGACCTGCAGCACTCCAACTTCCACCCGGGACATATGATTCTCCAAATCGTGGCTGACATTTTGGATCGAGCCTCTCACCACTAGACAAGAACACAAGATGGAGAAAAGGATGCTTAAAACAGAAATGGTTCTTTCCTGTTATTGCTGCTTGCTGCTTCCTAGTGAGTGAAGAGCCCAAGAGCCCATCTAGTACAGTAAACAAACTCTCTATGACCAGGTTCTAAAGCAGTGGTGTCTTCACGCAGCAAACACTGCAATTCTAAACAGAGTGACACCCTTCTAAGATGTCAGAACACTTAGGAAGGTGTTAACTCTGTTCAGGATTGCACGATAAGAGGAAGACGGCTCTCTCACTGCCTTACAATCACTGTAACACGGGGAGGTCTGTCAACAGAGGTGGGTCAGGCTACCATGGTAGTCTTGACAACCAGAGGCTTCAACACTTTCTGTCCCCTGAGCTGAAGGCCAGCTCTAGCCACTTGCTAGGCAAGAAGAGCCCACTACATTGGGGAAGATGAAGACCCAAACTATTTCTAACCAAACAAAGTTTGAGACCAGGGCCAGTGGACTCAAACTTTACAATACTGCTTCAGACCAACATGGCTACCCACTTGAGTATTTCTAACGGAGTTAAGAGGATCAATGTGAAAAACTCTGAGAAACTATGAACTACCATCTAGCTTCTTTTGTAATAGCTTTCTTTAGGACCAACCAGGATAACACAGAGTGCAGGCTTATTTTTAAGATCATAGCCTGAAAGACACCCCCCCCCATGTGTTTTAGCATCTAGCCTGATGAGTTCTGGAGAACTGAAAAAGCCTGCAGGCCGTGCTGCGTTGTTTTGGTTAGCCTTAATAAAATGCATTATATGGCTTTTGTTTTTGTATTTTACCATGGACCAAAATGGCTACATACTTTTTTCAAAGGCTCTTTTGAGTACTGTGGTTCTTTGGCACTATTGATAGAGTATAGTAAGATGGTGAGAGAGCCATGATTGGATCTCCCTTGTTTTGTTTTTTAAGATAACAGCAGCTACAGAGGTGGATGGTGGTGACAGGGAAGAATTTGACCAGAGCCACAGGAGATGGATTCTAGAGGTGACTATGTGTTAATCCTCCTGTGTTGCTTTGCTGATTTAAATGACACATACCTACTCCTCCCAGGCTATTTGCTCCATGGAGAAAAATTAAAGATGTCCTTAAAATCCCTACAGCTCATAAGAACAAAGCTGGTTCACACATGCAGTTTTGTCACTGCAATGTCAAGTAATGGCTTGCCATGTGAATAAGCCATTACATACACAACACTAGGGATCCAGACTTTCACAACATCTCACGCAGTGCTTTCTGGTGGACTCAATTTACACATTTGTCTGCCAGTCATATGGACAGTGGAGAAATAATGTGCATTAACAGGGCTAATCCTCTGAAACTAGTAGATGCATATATGAACCAGCCTTTCATGTAAAGTTCTTCCAAGAGCATCAAAAAGCTAATTCATATGACCAACTCCAGGGTAGTATACCACCATGCTGTGTGCAGTGCAGTGCTCAGTTATGGCCTCAGATCCATGTACCTGCAGGACCACCTCTCCCAGTATTGACCCACATGACAGCTCTGCTCCTCTGACCAACATCTATGGGATATTCCTTCCTATAATGCTGCCAAATCACAATGTTCCAGTGGTTGTCCATACTCTATGGAGTAGTCTTCCTGAAGTGGTTAGGTAGAATTCCACATTGCAGGCTGGATAATGCAGCCCTGTGGCCTTCTGCACCAATTCATGATAGCCAGAAATTTGTTAGTCCTAACACATTTAATTGCAATTTTTAAAATTATAATTGTAATCTGCCCTGAGTCCTGTTTTGGAGAAAACCTGGTTTTCAAATGTTCTAGATAAACAAACATACAGGACCAATGGAACAACATTTAGATGACCACAAACATCATGGGTCTATTAGCCTCCATTCAACAATTTCCCTCCAGTTCAGAAAATAAGCCAACTTCCCTCCAACTCAGAAAAATGAATGAATAAACTGCCCCTGATTCAGTGGGAAGTGAAACTGGAAGCACTGCTCTTGCGAGGACAAGGTTCCATTTGCAGCCGAAATGCTCCCCAATCAAATAATCAATTACAGAGTTTGTTTACAAAATACGGCATCATTTAAATCTTTCCCTTTGGGGATAATTACCTCACCTCACCCACATCATGCATACAAAGAGCTTATTTAGCAAGATCTCAGGGACTTCCTCAGCTAATCCAATTTCCTGGAGACGCTAACCTTTTAGCAGAACAGATGTCCTTTGCTCTGCCCCCCCCTTGCCTACCCCATGGGCTTTTGTGTGAGCATCTTTTCCTCAGATGCAGTCAAGGCTATTGACAAGCTGTAAGGCTCTTGTTCCGCCTGCTCCAAGTTTCTCCTCTGCAGCCTGTAGCCTCTCAGTGAGGAACTCTATCTTAAGAACCATAAAGGTCCAATTCACTTTGCCTGTCATTTACACTTTCATTAGTACCTATTTTCTCTAATCCCCCCCCCAAAAAAAAACCCTAAATGAAGGCAATTGGTGAACACAGGACAGGGATGTCAAGCCATAAATAGACTGTTCAAAAGGCTATTTTTTCTGGTCTGTTGGTGCTTCAGCTATAAATGCCCCCCATTGTGCGTCCTTCACTGCCACATCTGTCAGTCGGGTGTGCGTCCAGTCAACCCAGCAAGGAGGAGTGTGCCTTCCTGGAGACCCAAAAACTTCATGAAGTAAAAACAATGGGACCAATTACCTCGGTAAGGAAACCAAGGAGGAAAAGGACCAACCCGCTTTAAATGAGCATAAGAAAATGGCCTGATGGATGGTCTGGGAGCATTGCTGAAATGATGCAAGTGTGGACTTAATCAGTTCCTGGGTAGATCGTTCCTCCACATGCCGAGAAACAACAGGGATGAAACACAGTTGTAAAGTAAAAATATAAAGTATAATATAAAGAATAAGAAAATGTAGTTGGAGAATAGGGAAATTACGCACAAGTCTTCAGGTTGGATCTCACCAATAATTTCCTTATAAGCAAGAAGAGGGTGATTTTCCTTTTATTACCCTTAAAATAACATGTGACATAGATACTCCAAAAACGTCTGTGCCAAAGCCCGAACTGCACTTCTTTCTATCAGATAAAAGAGGTAGAGTGTGCACTTTAGACAATGACTGCAGCCATGAAATTAAAAGATGCCTGCTCCTTCGGAGGAAAGCTATGGCAAATCTAGACAGCATAATAAAAAGTAGAGACATCACCCTGCCAACAAAAGTCCATATGGTCAAAGCAATGGTATTCCCAGTAGTAATGGATGGCTGTGAGAGCTGGACCATAAGGAAGGCTGAGCGCTGAAGAATAGATGCTTTCGAATTATGGTGCTGGAGAAGACTCTTGAGAGTCCCTTGGACTGCAAGGAGAACAAATCAGTCAATCCTAAAAGAAGTCAAATCTGACTGTTCCCTGGAAGGCCAGATACTGAAGCTCAAATACTTTGGCCACCAAATGAGAAGGGAGCACTCCCTGGAGAAGACCCTGATGCTGGGAAAGAGAGGGAAAAGAAGACGGGGATGGCAAAGGATGAGATGGTTAGACAGTGTCACCGATGCAACAAATATGAGATTGAGCAAACTTCAGAGGAAGGTGGAAGACAGGAAGGCCTGGTGTGATGTGGTCCATGGGGTCGCGAAGAGTCAGACTCAACTGTGCAACTGAACAACAACAACGTGCACTTTAGCCCCCTGCACATGTGAGCAGCTGCCTCAAATACCCATGTTGCACACCATTAAGGTACACCTAGGGCATGTTCAGACGGGCTGTTTAATCAGCTTTCGTCACGCTTCAGTAACGGATTTTATATGCATGGCTCAAATTCACACATATGCGCACTGTCCCCAGCTGTCGCTTTCCGGCTCAAATCCCCCTTTAAATCAGAGTATTTTGTTACCAGTTCCCCCTCTGGTGTTTTCCTGATTCTCCGGTTTCAAGCTGCATTTTCCGATGTCTGATCGCTCCTGCGGTGTTGAGCCACTTCCAGGTGCTTCAACCCCCTACCCTCTGGAAAGCTGCCACAGAAGCCCGAGGCTTCCGCTTTTCGCCCACAATTTGTTTTTTAGCGCCAGCGGTGTGCGCACAGGCGGAGCTCTGCTTCTGCATTTATAAAACCGACGTTTAAATGGTCACTCGTTTTACCGTTTAGATGAGTTCAGGATCTCATGGAGGCCATTTTTGGGTCAAAAGTTTAAAGGGAAGTCTTTTGTTGGAGGGGTTGATTGATTCGCCCTGGTGGTTCTGTGCATGCGCCATGATAGTTTCCCCCCCATTCTATGGATGAGCGCCTATGCGCATGTGCAAACAGAGAATTTTTTTTTAAAAAATGCCAACACACACTCCCGTATGTCAGTAGTGTAGACACCGGGGAGCGATGTGACTGCGCGGTGAGGCGGGATAAGGGAGGTAAGTGTGATCGTGATTATCCAGGTCAAAGATTATCGCGTCAGAACTGGACCAGTTTAAACCGCTCTCAGCACGCCGTCTGAACGCACCCCTAGAGTGCATTATACGGGGTGAACATGTACTTTCTCTATGATGGCAACAGGTGCAGATGTCTGAACAGAGTCCAGTTCCTATTTTTCTTTGCTAAAGAAAAGATATGTTTGGGGACCAAGAAAGAGCCTATTACAGTATGCTAAGGACTTACCCCACTGTAACAACCCAACAACAAGAAGAGCTGCAGCGCATCAAGCTCATTTCAAAATAACTTATCCTGCAAAGATACTTACCAAAATCACTGTTGCAAATGGCCATGAGAAGTTCCATATTGTCGCAAGGGCGGCACATTGCTGAAAAACAGAAACAGTTCTTTGCTAGTAGGCATCTGAATGTGTATGAAGGACATCAAACTTTGTTCAATATATAAAGATGAATAGCTTAGAAGCACAGCCAGTTTTCTGATTATTACCATGTTGTTAATTTGCAAAATGCTACACAGTCATAGTTCATGAACCTTCACAAATGATCTGCAGAATATTTGAATATTTTGATATTGTAAACTAATATTTACTTCAGGTCAACAAGGAGAACCATTTATAAACTGTTCATTTTCCTCAGCAAGAAGGCTTGCCATTAGCCTACCTGTGGAGGGCAACCCCTGCCCTCCACTCCAGTCCCCAGCCCTTGAGAAAACTGAGGAGCAAAAGAAAAAAATAGCTGGATAAATGGCCTCCACAGTGACACTCTAGGAATTGCCCCATGTCTATGTTTTTATTCTAGAAGTTAGAGGAAATTCCTAGATCATCACTCAGAAGTGAAATCACATCCTCCACAGTCACCACCTTCAAAATCCCCCAGCATTTGTCAAGGCAGTGGCGGCAACTCTAACAGCATGCCACATAACCACCTCGGTTGTATCCACACATCATTGGATATTGCACTATCATAATAATTTGTAATGGGCTGACATCTTCACATGGGGAAAGCCAGTTGCAAATTGTTGCTATAGGGCAACAATACTGCAAGATTGAATGATGTGCAGATGCAGTTCTGTTATGCCTGTCCTCCACAGCAGCCTGTCAAGTGGTTTGGAGAATATTTCAACTGATTTCATACCAAGTGCATATGCATGGTAAACAATCATCTCTAGTGCCTGCTGCAATCTTTTTTGTTCTCAAGAGCTGTAGGCTTAGGTAGGAAAATGTTGTTTAGCAAAATAATAATAATATCCACACAATTTTAGTAAGACTACTGTAACTTTAAGAGAAAGAGACCTTATGGGCATGATTCTCTTCCATCCCTGAATACTGTCAACCTGGGTCAAAGGTGGCCAACCTGTGGCATGAATGCCACCCATGTCACAGTCAGGCAGTGGGGCTCCATGGCACACTTAGACAAATTTATGATATAGAGTGAGTGTCAACAACTGGAGGCATCTGGGCCACTGAGCGGGCTATACCCCAGATGAAAGAGAGTTACAGACAAAATGAACATACTCTGGCACTCCACATGTGCGGGGAGTAAGAGTAAAAACGTTGATTCCCCTTCAGCTCTTTTCACACTCTTCTCAAAATGGCCATTCATGAAAGGGCCACAAAGGCAAACTTGTTCTCCTGTTTGATTTGCAGCTCAGTAGATCAGAAGTGAGTTTGTTTGTTTTTGAAAAGAATTTTTCTATTAGGTATTTGCTAGCTTTACTGATCGTGTTTTTGTTGCTTCATATTTTTTGTAAGCCACTTGAACCTGCCCCGTAGCTAGCAACGTTTTGCTGGGCGGGGGCTAATTTTTTGCTCAGGGGCCAGCCATTATATGTCTATATGGACCTAGGCGCATCCCCCACCCCCGGACTGTGCTAGTTCAGATGGGGCCGATCGACAGGCACAAAGCTACTGTGGAGCTCAAGGAGGAGAAGCCAAGGCTCAGGTTGGGGCCCTGAAAGAAATGTTAGGGGACCGGGGCCCATGGGCCCCGCGTTAGCTATGGGCCTGACTCGAACACACCCATTCAGAAAATGAGACAAAAATTTCAGCAAATAAAATAAGAACAGGGGGCTGAATGGTGCTAGAGTGAGCACTAGAGCAGTACTAACACTTTCAATTTGACTAGCATACTTTTTTTAAAGGTCACCCGCAGTTAATGTGGGTGGTAATGGATTCAGGTAATGTGGCCAGTAAACCTCTCAAGAACCCACATGTGAAAAGTAATACATTTTCTGCTGTTCTGACTGGCATTGGGAAGCAAGGCTGGCAAAATTGTGAGGAAGAGGGCATTTTTACTAGTGGTGCCTACCCTTGCAGAATCAGTTTCCTTTGATGGCTCACTTAATAGTTTCGTTAAAAATGGCAAATGCCTTTCTGGTTTGGTTGGGCTGTTTTTGATCACTGCTTTCATAATTTAAATTTCCCTCTTGTATTTTACTGTTTTGATGTGTTTTTTTGAAATGTTTTAAAACCAGGATTTTCAGGTGCTTTAACAGAGTGCCAGAAGACAGGAGCCTTACCTTCCACAAGAGCCATTTTCTGGAAGTCTGGGCCTGTTGTGCTCTGGTTGCTAAGCAACTCATACTGGAAACTGGCCGTCCTGCGGCTGATGTCCCTCTGAGGACTGGCCTGTAGGAAAAGGGCCACCCGCTGGGGTGTGCGGGTGCTGAAGCAAGACACCTGGCGCAGGCGGGATGCCTCAGCCTCGCTCACCAGCAGACGAAGCTGCCCATCCCGCTCCACATAGATGTTGGCTCCTTGAAAGTGGCTGGAGGGCTTGATGCAGACAGCGGTGTGTCGGGCGCTTGACAAGTTGGGCTCCAAGATGACGCGGAGGGCTCGTGCCGGGTACATCCATTCAAGAGAGCCCTCGGTACAGCGGAGGTGAACCTGCTCCACTGCACGTGAGTGGGGGTCCCAGCTCAAGCCACTGGAAAACAATGGGGTGGGTGAGGAAGAGGATGCAAGTGGTACTCAGGGAATGGCAGTCCTGGGATTTTCGTTCTGTTCTGTTCCCTGCAGGTTAACCAAAACCAGGGCTCTAGGAATTGTAGCAAATTCTAGGAACTGTAACAAACAGATAAATTCACTCAGATGTGGGTCCGTTCCCCCCCCCCCCATCTGCTGCAGTGACAGGAGAAGCAACAGTGGGATAACTTTTCTTTCTGTGCCACTTTTAAGAAGAACAGGACCCCACTCAGGGTCAGGCAGGGCCACAGAGAGAAGGGGGCTGGGGGGAACAAAACAGATTTTCCCCCAAACCAAAACAGATAATCCAGGTTTTCCTCCATCCCTTTAGAGAAGCAGATGGTTTAGAAGAGTCCAGGAGGCAACACCTTTCTGTCTGCAGAGCACCTGTACAGAAACAGCTATTTTCATCACAGGAGGATGCTTGGCTTGGAACCTCTCAATATGGGACACCTGTGGCAGCTGTTTAGTGGTGGTGGCCACTTAGTCTTCTCAAAATTCCAAAAGTACCCACAGGCTCAATAAGGTTAGGGACCTTTGAACTACACCATATTGGCTGTGTCCACACAGGTTATTTGCCTCAGGTTTAATGCTGTTGAGAAGTGTTCCGTCCCCCCCCCTCCCAATTTCCCCACAGCATTGTGGTGCATTCATGTACCCCCCTGGGGTTTCCCAGGGTTTTCTCCAATCTTTCCCAAAGTTTTTTTTCTTGAGCCTTTTTCAAAGTTTTGGGAAAGATACAGCACAGCCACAGATGGCTGCCTTGTGGGTAGGGAAATTCAGATTTTCTCAGTCCTGCCCTCATGGCAACCATTTTACCTGCCCTCATCCTCATAGCAACCATTTCTTCCCTCAGTCACCACCAGGTCTTTTTTCCTTTTTAAATTGAAAGTTGAATATTGTTATATTGTTAGAATGATATTACGATGTCTTTATTGGTGTCTCTCAATTCTAAGCTTTCAGTTTTTCAAAAAAATCTGAAGCCCCTTTCTTTGCAGATATATAAGGGGAAATGCATATCTACAAAAAGGGCTATAGGCGTAACTCTTTTTTTTTTTAAAGGAAGCTGGGAATTCATACTACTTGATGTACAGATTGTTATTTTGTTGTTATGATATAATGATTTTAATTACCAACTAAAAAAACCCCTGAAAAGCACCATTGACTCTCACACATGGTTTCTGAATATCTAATATTTAAAGCTAGCATCTAATATGACAAAACATTTTATTTGCTAACTCCATGGCATGTACATGTTACAGATCTGAACATGTCCACTTTTATTTAATAAATTCAAGCACTCAGCATCCAGTTTAAATATATGTACTTAGTAATTGTAAGTACTCAGTTCTGCTAAACTAAGAACTAATCATATGAAGCATTTTAAGAATAGCACATTTTAATTACTGCACAAATTTTGTAAACAATCCAGACAAAGTTATGCCTTTTTAATTGATTTCAGTGGGAGATAAATCACTCACACTGCAATGTCATGAGTCACATCTATTCAATCTTATTCAGGTTTATTAAATGAGGCTTACTTCGAGGAAAGTGTTTTTAGGATTAGTCATTAAAGCTGGCAAGAGTTTTCCCTTAAATTTGCCCATTCTCAGAAACCTAATTTTAAAACATACAAATATTCAGATTAGCTCCATTAAGTTTCTAGAAACTGTGAATTAGAAATAAAAATAATGCCATAAAATAATTAACTATAATACATTCACAATGGAACACATTAAAAACCCTTTGATTTCTTGAGAGTTAAGCTAGTGCTTTTGATTCTCTTCTAGTTAAATTAATGGAAACTCAACATGCTCAACTTTGACTGGATTGTGTTCTTAATATTTATTATTTTACTAAATGACACCAGTCCAGTTTGAATAGACATCCTGATTTTCAAATTTTAGGCAACTAAGAGTTATTTGGCAGTTGGGATTTGGACATCGCAAGATACTGATAAACTTTGGGTAGTGATTTTTCATAGCAAAAATGTGTGCCATGATCACTCTATCAATGAGAGTCCTATGCAGCTGACCATTTAAATTCGAATTTGGAGGCCAAAAGAAACAGACACCCAAATCAACTCAAGCAGGAATAGAGCAGAGGCCATTCCTGCATGGCCCTACCTTAAGGGCTGTACCCACACTTCATTGGATATTGTGCTGTCCTTTAGCGCCAGCTATCATTGACGACTGAATCTTCCTGTGAGGACAAGGCAATCCAAAAGGCGAATGCTGGCTATAAAGCGCAATCTTCAATTAGAAGGGGATGTGGTTTAGATCCCTGTCTCCCTGTTCCCGTCTTTGCGCCTCGATATGAAACACCCCACGCCGTGCCTGCTTACCTGCCCTTCCAGCTGCAGTAGTCGGCGGGGCATGGCTGTAGCAGCAGCCAGAGCTGCAGGAGAGAGAGCACAGAGCGCCTGCTCCAGAGCTCCCGCCACAGGGACATAAGGCGGGTTTTGCTGCCTTTGCTAGAGCCAGCGCGAAGGGACAAGGTAGACTCCCTCCTGCGAGACCGGCGGGGCCCTTTGCAGAAAAGGGGTGTGTGGAGAGAGCGGTGGAAAAAGGAGTCTGCTGTATGCAGCCGGGACTGAATGGCTGGCCGTCCTACGGCCCCCCCCCTCTCCCAGCAAGGCTTTTTAAGGAGCATAATCTGCGGTTGAGTTGACAGATGTCCCTTATCCCCCCCCCCAAAAAAAAGGTGTAGAGATGTCCCTTCTCCCCCCCCCCCCGCTCCTCCTTATTCCAGAGCCCAGCGACAAACACGATGGTTGTTCTTTGTTTCAGAATGCCCCCTCCCGAAATGCATATGGGAGATTATAAACAGGAGTCCTTCTGGTACCTTGAAGACCAACATTTTATTCCAGGAGAAGCTTGGGTGGCCTCTTCAGATGCTGAGTAGATCCTCACCTAAGAAGAGAGCTCTAGTCCACGAAACTTTATTCTGTAATCATCTTTTCTTAGTCTTTAAGACGCCGCTGAGTGCTGTTTATTTTTGCAATAGCAGACCACCACGCTGCAGCAAACTGCTAGGCATACTCAGGGTTATTAGATGTCTGACTCGTTCACCCTCTGCGATACTTGCCTGTAACAAGCTACTGTGATATGAATGAGATCGTCATTGCTATATTCTTATTGGGCAAGCAGGCAAAAGCCTGGCTTTGCGCCTCATAGGGAAGCATAGCACCTGAAGCTGCTTGAGCTGTTCAATTCAGTCCCCCTTCTAGCTATTTAGTAAGTTCATAGGAAGCATAAGGCTGGTTTGGTTGTTTGTTTTTGTAAGGCTAAAAGGCCCTTCCGTAGACTTGTATCTGTAGAAGCAGAGAAGGAGCCTGGGAGGAGGGGAAGGAAAGATTAAGGGAACTGGTGCAGTCCATCTACCAATCAGAAGGCCTCCAGTGATTAGAATTAAGAATGTGTTTCCTGTAGCCTGCAACACAGACTCTCATGTAAGTAATAATTCGAGAGAATTATGGTTTGCCTTTCCTGATGGAATAGTGATAATTGCAGTATTTTACTGTGTCCTGGTGGGCCCTGCCTTAAACTAAGAAATGGTCCCATCTCCATTTTATCTTTAGCTGGGGGGGGTGGACTGGTTCCCCAAAGGTGGCAAGGTTATTATACTACCTAGGCCCTCCTGTGAATAAAGACATATTTCCATCTCCATCTAGCCTGCTGTTGGGTGTGTGTATAAAAACCAATCACAAAAGCAGCAATAAAACCAGCATAAATATCAAGGGCGTGACAGCAGGGAGGCGTGGAGGTGGGTGAGTGGCTTGGTTTCCCTAAAGAGAACCAGACTGGAAGTGCTGTGCAGGTAGGGTTGCCAGGTCCCCCCTGGCCACCTGTGTGGGATGGGGAGGTAGGGGTGCCAGATCCAGGTTGGGAAACTCCTGGAGATTTGGGGATGGAGTTTAGAGAGGTCAGGGACCTCAGTGGGGTACAATGCCACAGAGTCCACCCTCCAAAGCACCCATTTTCTCCAGGGGAACTGATCTCTGTGTTTGGAGATGAGCTGTAATTCCAAGGGGATGCCCAGGTGCCATCTGGAGGCTGACATCCCTAGTTGCAGGGCTGTTAATCTGGAGGCATGAACTTCAGGAGCTGATGCTTCACAGATTGTCATCCACCAGCCTTTTATCAGCTTATTCAATAAGTATCCCCAACAGATACTTCACCAGCTGAAGGAAATTCTACCTCCTTGCCACACAGTTTGGCCTCTCAGCCAATGTAACAATCCTTTCTGGCTGGCTGGCTAACAGTGTAGTCCTAATCAGATAGTTTCAAGGTGGGTGGCCATGCTGGTCTACTCTGCAAAAGTGCGAGATTCAAGACCAGCAGCACCGTAAAGACCAACAAGATTTCCAGGGTGTGAACGTTTGAGAGTCAGTGCTCCATTTTGTCAGCTACAAGAGAACTCTGACTCTTGAAAGCTTACACCCTGGAAATCTTGTCAGTCTTTAGGGTGCTACTGGATTCTGATCTTGTCCTAAACAGATTTACACCTTACTAAATCCCCTTAATTCAATGGATTTAGGATATTACCCTGTTCAGTAGGGTTGCCAGGTCTGGGTTGGAAAATACCTGGAGACTTTGGGGGTGGATCCAGGAGAGGATGGGGTTTGGGGAGGGGACAGGCCTCAGCATGGTACAAGGCCATAGAGTCCACCCTTCAAAGCAGCCATCTTCTCCAGGGGAGCTGATCTCTGTCAGCTGGAGATCACTTGTAAAAGCGGGAGAACTCCAGGTCCCACCTGGAGGCTGGCAACCCTACTGTTCAGGATTGTACTGTTCAGGATTGTACTGATATACACTGGTGGACCTCCTGGTGGCACTGGTATTTCTGGCCACTGTGTGTTGGACTGGATGGGCCTTTGGCCTGATCCAACATTGGCGTCTCTTACGTTCTTATGTACCCCTGTATGTAGTTGCCAGGGTAGCTTGTTCCATCACTGAAACAGAGGACATTGTTTTAATGTTTCTCAAAACTTACACCCTTGTAGTTCAACACCAGCAAAAATGAGTTGTGGTTTAACCTCACTACAAGCAACAGGATGATCACAAGCAATTTGGTTTTGAGTAATGTTATGTACGCGGACCGCCACCAGGGGTCCGCGGCTAAAGCAGGAGCTTGGTCCCCAAACACAAAGGGGACCTAGGATCCTAGTCCACCTTGAGTCCACTAATAGCACCCCTTGGTGGGAAATTCAAACCCTCCTATGGGGACATAGGTGTGCTGGGTGGAGTGTATATAGCTGGCCTTGCAGGGCCGTTTTTTTCAGTCTTGTTGTGAAGTACAATAAATGCATCTGAACACATGTCGTAGTCCGAGTCCTCCATGCGTCGAACCCAGTACTTTTCAAGTAACTTCTGGGTTAGGCCAATAAACTCACATCTGGCAAGCCAAACTTGGGTGTCTTTCACATCTGGCCAACCAGACTCATGAAATTTGCCTCTGGCTTTGAAACTATAGGATGGTTTTGAAAACTGCAGTGCCGTCTTGAAGACACAATGGCTGATAACTGGGGACCCCGTTCTGTCCCACAAAGCTCTTTTTCTTAGCCCTTCTGGCTCTTGTTGACGACTAATGAGGAGACAACCTTCTTTTGTCTTAAAATAAAAATATCTTAAAGTGATTAATAAGACTTTCTCACTGCACTTTAAGAGCCAACAAAACAGAATCTTGTCAGCGTAATCAAAGCGAACATTGAATGATTGATGGAAACTCAATGGCTTTAACTTTTGCTTTCAGGATCACCTTTCAGGGGTCCGTGCACAAGAAAGCACCAGGGCCCTGCGATTATCATGCTAAAAACTTGCTCTGTGCCCGCCAATAATTAGATTTCTATATGCATTACCCTTCCTTATTTTCAATGTGCAACATGGGGAGATGCTCTTTTGCAGGTCTGACGGAGCGAGGCTTCTTTTTGGCTGCCTTTAAGCGTGGAATTAGGATTTTGCACGTTGGGCTCTAACAATGGGTCTGTGCGCTGTTGGGTGGCACATGTGAGGAGCTGTGGGCTATTGTTCGCCCCCTCTCAATAAGACAAGGCTCACGGGCAGCAAGACTTTTAAGGCCATCTGTTACCTTGCTGCTAACAGAACATTCGCACATTGTCCACAGCTGCACCCAAAGCTGGGAGCAGCCGTTCTGAGCTGAGCCGTTGTGGATTCAGCACTAAGAGCTTTATGCGCTTTAGTTGTGGCTTGTTTTTAGGCAGCTGAAAATGGGTATTACAAGGGGAAAAATGAAAGGTTGA